ACTGACTGAGGCTTGCGTAGAGCCACTGAGATAGTGGGAGACTGCAGCATGAGGTGTATGAAGAGAGCTATGAGCTGGGGTCATTTAGTCTGGAGAAGAGAAAGAGGGATTTTATTTCTGTCTACAGCTGCTTAACAGGATTGTGTGGAGGAGCTGGAGCCTGACTTTTCTCAGAGGAAATCAGTAGAAGGATTGCAGGCAATGGGCAATATTTCAGACCATTGCGATGAATTCTCCAAAACAATCACATACACATAAACTTTAGATCCATAAATGCCTTCCAAAAGCTCTATTTTGAAGGAATTTGGGACTATATATATCTAAGAAAACTACTGCTTTCCCAGCAAGTATAGTTGAAACTGTATTAATATCACATACATTATTAAGTATGCCAAATTAAAATTTTTTTAAAGTATTTTACATATGTACATATAAACTGTATGATTTTACTTGAGTACCTTAAGTACAATTATTCTGCATTTATAAATTACTGTGTTCTTTTTGTGTATTAAATATTCTTATACTTAGAGCTTGCTAGTCTAAACTACGAGAATTCTTTTCAATGTAAAGTAATAATTTCTAAATATTTTTTCTAGAATGTAGGAGATGATTTTTTTTTTAACAAACCAAATTCTAAACTCATCTAGCTGCATTTGTTCATGTTACAAATGAGGGGAGAAGAAAATATAAAATTATGTTTTTAAAGAAAATTCAGATTTTTACCTTCTTCATGGAAATGGGAATCTTTGATAGAAAAGCATGCATAAGATTTTTAAAGAGGGGGGAAAAATCTGGCATTACAGCTATTATACTAGCTAGTTATACTAGTGATTATTAAAGGGCTTTCCAAAGCATTGCCTTTTTAACATTGAAAAAAAGTATTTAACAGATCCAAATAATATTCTTTTAGTCCCATGTGCTTTTTAAAAAGGATTCAAAGTTGAAATAAATACTCTTTAAGCCATTAATAGCTATGGTTGTATTAGCAGTGTTAGAACCACAAGGCAGTTACTGCACGTAATAGGTTTGCCCTGACTCACAAGTACCACTACAGAGAGCAGTGAGTTTCCACACTGTTGTTGGGGGTTTAAATGTGTTGTATTGATGGAGAAGAAAATCCATAATCACATGTTGTGGTTCTGCTTTGGAGATGCTCTGCCCTTTCACATCCAGGCCTCATGGCTTTGTACCATACGTAACTGAGTCCATCCTGCCTCAGAGAGAAAAGGAACTGTAGAAAGCAAGGTTGGGATACATAAGGCACGTTCAGTTCCGGACATCCTAACCCTGCTTCTTCAGTGCTAGGCAGAAGAGCACAGGGTATGTAAGTTAATAAAGTGCTGTTAAAGTCTTACAGTGAATTTCACGTAAGATTACTGGGTGATTTGTGGTACTCTGCTTCAAAGAATTTGCAGAGGAAAAATGCCATTTCTTTGTACTTCAAAGATTAGTTTCCTTTTGATACTTTAACTCTTAGCACTTTTTTGGCCTTTTGTATTAAATTACAGTAGTCCTTTTTTAGGCTACTTTTTCCTTACCTTAGGCCTTCTGTTGGAAATGGCAATACTTCTAGAGAAAATGCATGTTTTATTACCTCATCAGCTTCCACACTTAAAGGAATAGAGTGCATCTATTGTGCTATAGGACAATAAATATTGTCCTATATAGGACAAAGTAATGATTTCTTAGACACTTATTAACAGAGTTGAGTAAAAACTGCAAAATATATCAATAACCTGTTGATAAATGTAAAAATCAGTGGTTTAGTTGCACCTTTACCCCTCTTCTAGCTTTTAGCAAGCATCATCTTACCATTGCCATTAACTCTGCAGGAAAGGGAGAAATATGCTTGGTACTCAATGACATTATATTCTCCTCTAATCAATTCCTCTGAAGGACTATTTTAAATTCACAGATTTGAATCCTTATACCAAAAGTAGTTTGGATAGGACACCACTGTAGGGGAAGTGTTGGGTTCCTTAAAACATGTGTAAGATTTCTGAAAGGGAACCCCTTAAAAAACCTACAGCAATCATCTCTCTGCTTTCTTTGCACCTTGGACTGTGATATTATGAAGCACATAAACAATACTGAAAGAAAATAAAATTTAATATAATTAATATTACAGTAGCTTATTAAAAAAAAAAAAAGGCTCCAGAAAAGCATATAGGTGCCCAGGAAAAACAAACAAACAAAAACACAAACCAAAAAAACTAAAGTCAAAAACCACACACACACATACAAAATAAGAAAACAACAAAAAAAACCCCAAACCACAAAACCCCTCACACAATACTCATGACCTTTCCTTACTATGTTTAGATAGATTTTTTTAAGTAGCTTCCTCTTCATAGCAAACCCAGAGATTTGTCGGCTTATTTCAGGTCTCTCTTATTAATACATTCATTTGCTCACAGAACAAAAACTCCTCAGTGATTCTCACACCACTCAGATACCACTAAAATCGTGTTAAGATACCGCTAAAATTTGTCCTGCTCCCATAGATTTGTGAGAAAACAGTGAGGAAGCCACTAACATACAGTGGCACAAAAGCCACCAATTACATGTTTATGCCTTCAGCATTGTCTGGCAAAGCCATTTCCAAGAGCAAGAAGGTTCCTTGAATAGATTTCAATTTTCTGGTGTGAAAGCATCATGGTGGCACTTCCAGAGGGATTTTCAATGTCTTTTCATTCCACCAAGAGACTGGGCAGTCTTTTCCTACTGTGTTCAACTTGTAGTGGAGAAACATCATGCTAACTGTTAAGGGACCAAATTAACTCTTCAGGAGTGTAATGCTGTTGTGGCTAAGAAAGGCTGGACCACAGCATACAGACTTAAATGATAAATGAATCCCTAGGATCTCATAAGCAGTGAGAATGGGCTTTGACCAGTGTAGGAGATGGTAAGCCTTGAAGAAGAAATGGTGTACCAGAGGAAAGGGTTAATGTAAGTGACACTTTTTGCATAAATATCCAATTCTAAATATGTTCCATAATGTGTGTTAAAAATGAGCCATATCATTCATTTTGCAGCAGTCCTCACCACTAGTGCCAAGTGAATCCTTCCCATGTATTTTTGTCTTTCTCTTATAAGTGCTTTTCAGGTATTTTGTCATGTCTGAACACAAATGCTTTGCTATTCAGTGTTTCTTTACTCCCTTCCAAAAGTAAATGACACAGTCCATATATCCAAGTCTTAAGCCATGCACAATCTAATTAAATAAGACTTTTATTGGTCTTCATAATCCACAGTAAAGATCTGCTGTATATAACCTTTATTACGAGTGAGTATTTAGTTGAGTCAGAGATCTTCAGTCATAACTGAAAGTTTCTCTGCTTAAGAAGGGTGGAGAACAGCAGTTTTTGAGACTGGATACCTAAGTCACTGCTGTATTGAATAGGGGCCTAAATTTGCTGTAATTTCCTTGTGTGATGTCATCACATTCCACCAAAAGCTATAAATGCTCATAGGAAAATAGCAAAGCGTCTATTATATGCACAGGCTGCCAGTGTACTGAGAGATAATTTTGGGAAGGCTAAACCTGAGAAGAAACACAACATAAAAGCTGGGCCACCTGTTGCTCAAAGTTGCCGAGTATTCAGAGGTCTTTCCAGGGCTTTCAATGTTCTCATGCAGTCAACATTTACATTGCTATTAAAAGAAGCCTTTTGTAGATTCCAGCTTTTCTGTAGAGTTAAAATGTGTTGGGTAGGTGAGGGATTTTTTCATTTTGAGAGTGTGTGAATGTACATGTCTGATGAAATAAATTTGGTATGCCAGTTCTAGGGTGCCTATTCATTAGTGTCCTCCTGCTGTTCACATTTTATTAATGAAGCAAACCATCACCCCCCTACCAGCAGACACTTAATTCCTTCCCAGAATCCATCTGCTTTTCATGGTCCTTTGAAACCAGCGTTTTATGGAATCAGCTTTAACAAAGTCTTATTTCCATGGGTCAATTAAATACCAAATATTGTTATTTCACAGCTACAGCTCCTTTAAAGTGTCTCTTAGCTGTGATTAATTCTAAGATGATTTCGGGGGAGGGGATTGGACTACCAAAGACCGATTTTAAAAGAAATTGATTCTTACAGAAGATCATGGAATAAAGGTGGAATATGAACTCAAAATGGGAAAATTAGGAGTGTGATCATGGAACTTTGCCTTACTTAGACAAGACAAATAATCATACTGGCTGCTTATTATAGGGTACATGATATTTTAAAGATAGATTTTAATTCTCAAAATGTATATTTCAAATGTAATCACATAATGCATATATGCAGCTATGATTCTATGATTTGCTACAAACTTAATAGAGAATTGCTATACACATACAATTACTTTAGGTGCAATACAGAATAAGAGTATTTATAATAATGTTTTGAGGATATCCATTACTCTTTCAAGTACAGAAATTTTGTTTATAGTCAGTATCTCTTCCAATTACATTCTGTCAGCTATAAAAATACATATTTTAAAAACTCTGTGTCTCCAACTGTAAGAAGTTTTTGAAAAGTTTAAACATTACTTTTTATATCTTCAATTGACAAGTTTAAAAATCACTTTTTATGTCGATATTATGAATGTATAAAAATATATTCTAAGCCTTTATTAAATATTAAAAGCTGCCACTTGCATGACCTCTCTGCTTCTAAAGGTCACTTTTGTACTTCAGGTTGGTGTCACTACTGAGGTAATAATAACACTTTAATGCATAGTGGGGCATCACTGAAGAACTGGTGGCAGAAAGTTTAACAGAATGGATGTGGTGGGACCTAAGAAACAGTAGGGTTTGCATTTCATTTGTGCTGAATGCCCAACTTTATCTTCCAGTTCAACATCTGCTGCTGAAGTTCAGGGAATATGTAAAAAGATTTGCAGTTCACCTCTAACTTTGTTATATAAATTATTGATTTAATCACTGACATTCAGTTTATTGCTCTCGTGTGTTTGCATGATCTGGGATTTTTTTAAGGTAAGACAACCCAATTCCTGGTATTTTACATACTGGGTAATAAATTGTGAACTGTCTCTGAACTGAAACGAGGTGACCCATAACTAAAGAGGAAAAAAAATCTGTATTCAGTAACACCTGCATGTGTGTAACTAATACTTGGATAGAGACTGCTGCATCTTCCTGTTTAATCTGAGAGTCATGGCACTTGATATCCATGAAACACTTACTTAGTGCAGATGTAACTTACTGTTCGCAATTTAGGGTGAAGATGTTTGAGAGGTGGAGTTGAATATGTAATTGTGTTATTGCCGGGGGATTATGTAAAATTCTCATCTCTGGACTAGTTTCTATGTTTGTACCTGTACCAGACAGTGGTGGTGGTTGTGAGGATTGCTCTGGGTTTTGTTCCCAAAGTCACTTCTGATACCTGCCTCACAAACCATAGTGGATGTCTACCAGTCTCAGCAAGGAACTGCAGTTTGGAAATAATTCTGTCAGATAGGGTGAATGTTTATCAATTGGAAAAAAGGGGAAAATGTTAATTGCTTCTGGCTTTATTTTAAGAAACCGTACTTGGCCAATCAATTTTGTGTGTTAAGTTTATGCTACACATGCATGTGGACATACCTGTATGTTTTTTATAAATAAGAAACAAATCACTCTTTTTTTTTAACATCAGGCATCAGTCAGGACTCTCTGCTCGCAATAAAAAGATACTGTGTCTTTCAGCCATTGAGTGGAATGACATGGATTCATCTTTCAAGTGGCTTTTTTGATAGCATATGGCTAGACATTCCTTTTGTTAACGTGTAATTTTTTAAAGCTATGGCTAGAATGCTAGAGAGGAGAATGTATTAATTACATGTCAAGATGCATAAGCAATATTGGAAAGTTGTCATATCCCATCCTGGTCTAGGTAATTCCTGTGTTTGTCTAAGCCATTAAGTTTAAAACTGCTTGAGAACAGAGTATGAGCCATGACATCTGGTACAAATATTTATATTCTGTTATTACACTCTATAAATGCAGGATGTTGTAAGTAGCAAATATATAACCAACATCTTGAGGTAAGATGAAGGATTTATCACCATGGGAAAAAATAATCTCCATAAACGTTTACATACAAATCCTGAATGAAGATAAAGAAGTAATGAATGGATAATTTTACACAAAGGAAAGATAGGACTTGGAAACAGAGGGAGATGTTTTGATCTGTGCCCAATGTCTAACATAAACACATTTCACTGTACTTTAAGTAATCCCTGATTAATTATGCACTGTGAATGTCTAAAAAAGTAATACCAAGCTGCTTATTATAATAATAAAATTGAGGATTGGTCATTTTTGGATCCAGTGACCATAAAAGCTAGAACTCTAGATATTTTTTCCTCCTTCTATTATTTTTTGTTCAACACATTTCTAAGAACATGTTGTTTCTTAAAACAGCCTAATCTGAGTGCCCAGCAACACTGTATGTCCATGTTTTCTTTCAAAACCAAGTATGTTTATTAATCAGCTGCTAACTAATAAAAACTGAAACAGAAATTTCTAGTCTCCAAGTCTTATGCTGGATTGAAATAAAAAGAAGAAATCTGAACATTTTGCATTGTTTGAAAAAATTCAGTTTTTACACAATGAGTTATGTGATTTTAATGTCACATTTCAATTTAGTAAGGAAAAAAATTCTTTTTAATAGGAGACAATACGTTAGAATATAAAATAGCAAATATGTTATAAGCAATATTTGGATGTGAATGTTGCAACATTAGTCATAACAATGACATTCTCAAAATTATGGGTTTATGCATTACAAGTCTCATATAGTGTAGTCCCCTCAACAACTTCAAGAAGACTTTTAAACAGTTTTTATATTAACAGATTGCATTTTTGACAAGTTGTATTGATATGGTTTAGTGGTGAAATACATAAACATTTTAGCATCTAAATACTGATTCATCCTCCAATGAATCCATTGCTCCAATGGGAAGTAACTGAAAACTGTGGCTTTGCTGATAGTCTTTGGCTATTGCTATCTCATTGTCTGTTCAGATATTGCTAATTTTCCCCAGTTTCCCACCTTTCTTCTGAGAAGACCCTTCTGTACACCTATGGGAATGAATGTGATATTTATTCTACAGGTATTTTACAGCCAGCTATCAGGCAGATAGTAATTTTTGTGATGGCTTCTATTCCTGTTTGTGCTGTTAAAGTATGAAAATAATCTTTTTTTTAAAAAACCCAGAGATTTTTATGGTTCCAATCACCTTAAGGCTATTTACTTTGTAACAAAGTGCTCTACAAAAGCCCTTTACTTCAAATGTAAACATGACTTCCAGTACCCCCTGCCATAGACACAAACAAGCCACCTAATCATCAACTTGAAATTGCATTTTAACCATAGCAACCTGAACATTTAGCTTGTGAAATGCTTAATTAATAAAAATACCAGGTGAATTGTTTGCATGTAGAAAATTAGAGTAATTTAGAAATATTTAGTTTTTCATTTGCAAGCTTCTAACCTGTAGGGACTCATTCAGTTTGGTTATCCAAGTTGTTTTATTTTTATTTTTTATTCTATATATTTCTGCATTAAGTTTACCCTTATAATCTCTGGGCAGAACCTAGATCTGAACAATTTTAAAGGGATTCTCGTAAATTTTCTATACTTTGGGGAATTTGGTTGTTTGTGGGGGTTTATGTCTACAACTAGATGAAATACAAATCTAAAATAAAATAAAATACAACAGTATAAAAATTAAAAACAGCCAAAATGTTATTTTCATGTAGTTATTTATTAGTCTTTCTTGCTAAAGGAAAAGACTAACTCTAGATTCTTCTCTTTTGCCTTCCCACATGCACATCCTTGAAAACTGGGGCCTCACGATATGCCAAGAGCATGGTTTTAGTAGTGTAAAGCATTTGGCAGCAGTACCAGTTTTATCATCTCCCACATCCCGTGCTTTATTCTTACCTCTTGCATCAGCAGCATATCATTAAAAGAAGAAAAAGTAATCTGCTGTCCTCTCTCCCTCCAAATCCCCAAAGCAGTAAGTAACACAACAATTCAGCTTAGCTACAGGAAGGGAAATACTTGACAACCAGTTATTGCAGATGATTCAGCTGTGTCCTGAAGAAGACAATATTGTAGAATCACAGAATCATTTAAGTTGGAAAGGACTTCTAAGATCATCGATTCCAGCTGTAAACCTCACACTGCCGAGTCCACCACTAAATCATGTCCCTAAGTGCCACATCTATATGACTTTTAAATATCTTCAGGAGTGGTGTCTCAGCTACTTCCCCGGGCAGACTGTTCCAATGCCCGACCACCCTTTCTGTGAAGCTCAAGCCTTTCCTTATTTGAAAATGAGAATAAGAAATGTGTATTAGTAGTTAGAGAAAGGTTAATCAAATAGTGACAGAACAAGAAGTCGGGTCATAGGTTCCACTGTTATTCTACTGGTGGTGTTCCTGACACTGCAAGTGCTTGAAGAGATCATGGTGTTCCTATTTCCTTGTTTTAGGGAGAATTTAGTTCCTCCTCTGTGTAAAATATATTTTCTTTGAGAAGGTTTACAGTCTTGCAGGGTCAAATTTTCTAGCTCTTCAGTGTTATGTCTTTATATTACTTTTGATAATAGTGAGTATAAAAATAGTACAAAATGCTTTTTTATCCTATGAGTGTATATCAGAGGGGAAACAACTATACATGTATATATATATATGATGCAAAAAGAAGCTCTTGGCTGAACGAAGCTAGAAATGGAAAATATTTGTTCATGTTTCTTATGAAGTACAGGATTAAGAAATCCCAAATTTCCTTCACAAGCCTTTGTTTGGACTTTTGGCGCTGAACAGAGACATTTCCTTCCTTCAGTTTAGCTTTTCAAACCACAAGAACCTTAAGTGGAGTAGATGATAAGTACTTTAAACATTTTTAGGAGTTCCTTTTGTTGACAAAAGGGGTGAACTACTACATTTATGCTGAAACCTGTAGAGAGGAACTGCTGATATTGAAAATCATCAGTCCAACAGTCTCTATTGAGCTGTCTCATCTGGATGAAAAGCAGTCAAGGGGAAGCCAGGCTGGTGAGCTCCAGGTAATGCAGAGCTTGTTGCTGACTGTGTGATGTGACCAGCTCACGATAATCTCAGTGGTGTGTGCTCCCCTGAACAAGGCATGAATAAAACTATGAAGACAATGAATTGCTTTGTAGCCTTCTGATGAAAGATGAAATTGATAGCAGCTAAAATGTGAAGAAAGTCTGATCAGAGTGGAATGATGTATCGGGGAAAACAACAAGAAACCAAATATGTTTGAAGAAAAGAAATGAAAGTTACATTTAGGTGGCTAAGAAAAGTGAGAAGATGATACTTAGGCAGCATTTCTATGAATTTTTCATCACATCCTGAGAAAGAAAGCAGTGTCACAGCTGTTTGTGTTTGAAACTAAGAATCTTGTGATGACGTCTGTGATGCCATGGACTATGCTTGGATTGGATGGAGGCTCTGTGCTTGGGAATGATGGTAATTTGGCCTATTTTATATATCATACTGTAACCTCTGCTTTTCATGATTCTGAAAGCAACTCCATTGCTCACAAAAGAAAATGAAACAAGAATGAAGCACAGGCCTTTTTCTCTGCAGTGTATAAAGCTATATATTATGCTGGTGTTACACAAGCATCTGCATATGACTGGAGAAGCCAGCAGACTGTGGTGAGTACAAAAATAGGTGAAAAGATTTCCCAGCTGAGTGGCAGTACGTAGACTTTTACACAGCTCAGGAAGAAGCTGTGTAAAAGCTTCTCTTGGAGAAAAATCCAATTTAATGTCAGAGCTTTGCTTGCATTCATATACATGGCTTATTCATGGAGCACCTACCAGAGCCAAAATAAGTATTCCATCACACCTTCTTAGAACCTGGAAATTATATAGAGATGTACAATATTAGAAAGTAAAAGATTAGTCCAGTTTAATGCTGGCCACAATATGAGATGTCTCAATATGCCTTCAAAATGCAACCATTTTCTATAGCCAGAGGCGTTCTTTGTTATGTTTTAACATATACTTTTGTCACATGAAATTTGAAAGATTTAATATAAAAATATTTGAAAAGCATTATATAAGTATTAATGATCCCCCTGAATTTTTAAACTTATTCCTTGTTAGAAGGAATTATGATGTATAATGCTTGATAATCTCTGAGAGGACTATAGTTGTGGCATTTTATTCTAAGAAACTGCTTATTAGTTGTAGCAGTAGAGCTTTGAAAGCTTTATGCATTATAAAAAAAAAAATCTTAGCTGCTGTCCAGGCTCATAGTAGTGCCTGAGATAATAAAAAAGTAGGTTATAAGGCCGTGAAAGCCAGTATCCATCAACTCAACAGGAAAAACAAAAATGCAACTGCTCAAAACACTAATTCCTTATCTCCCCAATCTGTAGCTAATTTGCACTGCATAAAAATCGACTAAATCAAATATGAGCCTTGCAGATTATCATAGTTTTAACGCATGAGAAGAACTCCCGGTTTCCTGAGGAAACCTTGATCCTAATAAGCTGAAAAATTTTATCATAAATCTCAATTTTTCTTCTTACCTGCACTCCTGCACACATATCCAAACTGAACTCTGATGAAGAGCGTGGAGTTTTGCTGGTGCAAATGGGAGACAAGTGTTGCCTGACGCATTTAATCAGAAAACCGTTGGCTTTCAATTTCACCCAGGGGTGATATGTGTTACTTTCCTGGACAGTGTGACATTGCACATATTTTTGCATGCCAAGTTGCATCAGGCTGCCATAGAGAGCAAACAAGTGAAATAACAAGTCCCCCTGGCATACTACAGTATAAAATCTGTGACCCAGATTCTCCTAGCTCTGCACATAGCGTAGTTCAGAGCTAGAGTGGTGAAAAGACAGCCTTATGCTGCTGGAACCTGGTCTGCTCAAGACAGGTCCTCAGGGAAGATATTGGAAGCTCACTTGTACTGGGATACAGCAGCTAGCAACCACCAGATTGTTGCAAACTACTGGCCAGTCCTTTTTGAAAGTGACCAAGACCACTTTCCCAACTGTGTACCTCTGTGAAATGGTGACACAGGGAGTTCTTCAAGGGAACACCCCTGAGAACAGCTATACTGTCTTTGAGGTTGTGGGGACGCATAGTGTAAGGTATAGTTTCTAAATTCTAGAAAAACATGGAGCAAAAAGGATCATGTGGCATTGCCCTTCTCCAGTGGAGTGTCAGGATACAGTGAATGTGTTGGAGAAAAGTGATTACATTCTTTCTAATAAGGCAGTAGTTTTTTTAAACAATGACTTTTTTTTACCTAATTTCTCATCAAATAGTCTCTACAATTCGTCCCAAAGTAAAACCTAAGGGCAGACAGATCCATCTATCTTGAGGTTAGCAACAGAAGTGCTATATTGATACATTATCATTTATTTCAGGGAAAAATACAAGAAACTGAGAGAGGCCAAACTAGCCTTTGGAATGTCCTTGGCAGAAACTATTGATGTCCTTTGTGTAGTGAGTGTTCATGTATTTTCATCATTATTAAGGTAGGGAAGGTAGGGAAACCTTTTCATAACTTTCAGCACAAAAGGGTGCCTGATTTTGCAGTGAATGACCTCAAATAGAATACCCCTCTGAAGTACTGGAGAGCATCTGCTACTTCTTTGTATTCCCAGATGGAATAATCTCTAACACCCAAAGCGACGTTTCTGCTTAAAGTGCTTGGCAGTCTAGCAAAGTCAGCTGTAGTTTAACCTTCAGATTTGATACAGTCTGTGGGACTCACTTATAATGGATTTTTTAATATACACAACATATTCAGAGAGTTTTGGGAAGCAAGGATACAGGCTCTGCCAACATAGCCAAGGTGTTATCACAGGAAGGGGGAGATGTGAGAGTATGTCAGTATAAGTGCATTATAGTTAAACCTTCTGGACTGTGGTGGTGGACAATGAGCTTCAAGATTCTCAATGTAAATATAACATACTCTATTTGTCTAAGCTTTCAAATAGCTGAATGTACGGGTGATTTCAGTTACAATATAAGGAAAATAAATGCTGTACCTTACAGGTCATTCTATACCTCTGCATACTGGATTTAAGAAAAAAAGCCTGCCTCTAAAATAAGTTATTCTGAATTGTCCTTGACAATTGTGAAAGACTAATTATTCTGCTAATGTTGTGTGACTTACTCAAAGGCTATTTTTACCATGAAATTTTCCTCACAATGAGAATGCTTCATTCTGCTTCAGTAGTTAGTGATATGTCCTTGAAACACAGGTCCTAGGTTTTGAAATTATCAAGGGCTTTTGAAAGTGCAGACCAGTTTACTTTGTAACTGAGCTGACTCTCTTTCTGTCTCATTGCATTTAACAGAAGCAAGTTTTCATAAGCAAACACTAACAATCATCACAGTGCCTGGATTTGAAACCTTATGCGCTTATTCATACATGAACATATGTGAAATAGTAATATTGTATGAATTTAAAAATATCTAGATCCTCTGTACAAGATATCAGAACATAAAAGTTCCTTAGTAGATCTAAGTATAACTATACTAGATCACGTTGTCCTTTTCTTCTCTTTTTATTTAATGCAAGTGTTTGTTTATAAAAGTAGTAGTTTCATGTCTCAATGTCAATAAACTGCTTGAATGGTGCAATCAGGCATGGCTATGTTGATTTCATGCAAAACGTGTGGACTCTCACCACCAGAAGACAATTCATAACCTATATTTTCTAATGTGAACATCTTGTAAGATGCAGAAATCTTTCTGGATGATAGTGAATATTCATATATTTATAATATGTATTAAAAATTTTAGGAATTATTTGGGAGCAATTTCTGAACAATGACCGTGATTGCTCTTACCAAGGAAGTACACTCTCTTACATTTGCTTGGACAGACCTTACAGTATTGGAGAAAAGCAGATCCATAATGCATGCAACAAAAACTTGTTTGCTGTTCTCTAATGTTGGGCAAGGATTCCTAGACGAGCTTCTTCACCTAAATCTGTTGAACTCCCATGAGTGTCTCGGACTTTTTTTCTCTTACTTTCAAAATCTTATTTATATTTCTTTGTTTAAGTGGGGTGGGGGGTTGAGGGATTTTGGAAGAGTGCATGGTTTACCTCTATCTAATAATTTTTCAAGAAAGAACTCAACTGGGAAATAGTTGTTGATCCAAAAATTCTGAGTCAGAATAATTTATTTTTTTGGTGCATTCAGGCAGTATTTTTC